CACATTTTCCTGAACCTATACCCGCGACAAATAAAAAGCAACATCCTGCAAAAAGATGCCATGTTTGCGTAAAACATAATATAAGAAGTGAAACAACTTGGCAGTGTAAAATATGCCTCGTTTCGCCACATATTACTAAATGCTTTGAGATGTATCACACATTACAAAATTATTAAATTATTATTTTATACTATTACTTAATTGTTGTACACTAATACTATACTTCAACTCTATTGAATGTTATATAGCAATGTAACTTTAAAAAGAAAAGGCCCTGTTTCTGAGCTTGTACATGAGTGTCCAGTTGAGCCAAATTAAATAGTATTCTTCGGACGCGTCGATGCACATTTTATTCGTATGTCAAGTGGTTAATAAATATTAGGTCTACCGGAAAGTTCTGTCTGATAATGTCCTTGCAAATTTCAATAGGTATGCACATGTTCATTTGAGACATATTTTTGAAAAATGTTGCTCACAAATTGCCATCGTGCTGGCAAGAGGTCACAAGTAACGACGGAAATTATATTGTACAATAAATATTACTAAATTTATGAAAAATCTATTATTTCCTTTAATTTCTCAAACGGACAGAACTTTCCGGTAGACCTAATACGAAGCTCGTTGACAAGATTTTATTCTTGCCAAGAGAGATATAAACGGAACGAATTGCTACCATTATTTTTACCAAATAATTTTAAAATCTAAGAACTTAAAAGATTCACCTACGTAAAATGCAAGCTCACGTGGTCACTGGCAATTATTAATATTTTTAACTTTACTTTAACCACGAGCAAATTAATCTGCAAAGAGATCATTGTCTTACGTTGATGTTTATAAAATAATCTGTACATATGAAAATTTGCACAAGTTTCTTTCTTTACTTATAAATTTACTATAAAGTAAATGTTTTTCTCCATCTCTGTACACTTTACGATCGTATGAATTCTGACGGTCTAAGATTTTCAATTAACATCCTGTGATTCGTTACAGGTACATGGCCATTGTGAACCCGTTGAGGCCACGTATGGGTAAAAGAGCCACACTCTGCATAGCGATCATCATCTGGATCGTAGGGGCAGTACTTTCGTTGCCGATGCTGCTATTCTACACTACCTTCACACAGAATTACGCAAACGGCGAAGTCAGAGTGATCTGCTACAGCGACTTTCCCAACAGCGACGACAACGGTCTCAGTTACGACGAATATCTGTGAGCTTATTTTGATGATTACACTACTGCCCCTATCATTTCCATTTTATGTCTTGTTCGACACTTTTAACCTTTTAGGCACGACGCGCCACTATAGTGGCTTGCTCTAGTAGCTCACTCGCTCATCGTTTGAATCACAAATAATCGTCTTCATATGCATTGTTTCACACTTCTTCTGTCTTCACATCGATTTACAACAGTCTACAAGGTGTCCGAAAAATGTCTCGCAATCCGGAAATGGCGGATTCCTCGGATCATTTGAAGCAACTTCTTCCTTTACAAAAATTTTCCTCGAGGCACCGTTAACGAGTTATTAACGAAAAACAGTGACCAATAAGAATCGAGTACGGCTAACGCGAGGCGGCCCAGCCAACCAGCGCACGAAGCCCAGTTCCGCTCATTGGCTCGATCGCCTCGCGCCAGCCGAGCTCGCCTCTCATTGGTCACTGTTTTTCGTTAATAACTCGTTAACCGTGCCTCGGAGAAAATTTTTGTAAAGGAAAAAGTTGCTTCGAATGGCCCGAGGAACCCGCCACTTTCGGATTGCGAGACATTTTTGGGACACCCTGTATATATAGTATCAGACTCTGTACAGTACACGTCAGACTCTGCCGTCCAGAGAAATAGCCTCGCGCAG